TACACTGAAAGCCTATGCACCAAAGGCAAATTCCTTGTGTGTCCAATCACACTTGGCCAATAAAGAATTATATTGTCTATCTATTGTTCTAACTATTCCCTCTTCTTTGTGGCAGCCCCTGACAGACAGATGTATTGAACAGAAAGAGTTTATGTGGATTAATCATTACAGTCCTACGTAAGGCTCCCCAGTGAAATTCCAAAATTATTCACTTTCCAGAAGAAGCTGAAGCTCTTCTGGAGCGTATTTGGATATGAACCTGTGTTATAGTTGTAAGTGGGCTTAAGTATTTATTATAGTATTGCATATTTTGTACTATCATATGCTTTGGGGGCGGTTGTCCTAATCCACTTAATCTGTTTAGATTGCAACAGGTAGAAAATGGATTGATAAGTCAATAAATCAATATAGTTTTCTTACCTACATCTGAAAGTACTCTGATACAACTTTCCACTGATGCTTTTTGACTAGGCATGAGCCAGTTACAGTGATACACTCGAAACACACCTTGTAAAAGTTGCACGAACACTGGCTGACGAGTCTAAAAAGACACCAAGAATATGTATATTTAAATTTAAGGAAAAGAGGAAGGTAACAAAGAGAGAGGTCTATAAATGTGAAGAGTTTGAGTGAAGCTAAGCAACCAAGCATGAAAAGTGATTTGTTGTAAAACCCAGAGATACAGAATTTTCAAAGCAAATTTCCTTGAAGTTCTGGGGTATATCTGGGGTATATAATTGCACTATTACCTACTGAAGCAATTGCAAAGTTTTTCAAATTATCAAGTGAAATTAAAATACCTACCTTAAAATAGGAAATAAAATCTATTGGAAGCTGTACATGGAACCTAGTTAAATCTAATTCTATTTCTTTGTGTAAAACTTGCCAAGACAAATTTCAATGAAAAAAGTCATGTTTCAATAATGTCAGTGTATACATTATGCTACAAATATGATATAGATGATATTTTATAAAGGAAATTTGCTCATAGGAAAGCAATTAAATGACCAGTAGATGGCTCTGTAACATTACTAACATTACTAAAAATTATGCTAAACATTAAAAATTGGAAGGTAGGAATCTCCTGCCTTTCTACAGAAAGCATCCTTCACGGAAATGTGGAATATTGAAACAATCAACCTCTTCGTTTTACCTACTATTCAATCTTTCCAGAAATTATTTCCAACTCCACAAACAATGACATAATTTATAACTGTCAAATATCAGAAGTAGTTCCAAGATCAAAATAGGGTATAATAGTAAGAAACAGAGATATCATTTTGCTTTGCATACCGTAGTTTAATTTTCTATTTAGTTTCTTACCTGCAAAGTTGTGCTCTGGTCTGAAAATGGAGAACTGAAGAAGGTAGTAACTATACTCATCACTATTTCAGTCACATATTTTTCCAATATCGAATCTGCATGCTTCCTATCACTGGTATTGTTGCAAGTCTGGAAAATAATGCAATCTGTTAAGATGAAACGAGGCAAGAATTCTAATTCTCTCACAAATACCAAACAGTTAAACTTAATATACCTAGAAAGGTAACTTTTCTAGAAATTCTGAAAGCATGTAAAACACATTTGGGTGGTGAATGAGTAGCCCTCAACTTACAATCATTGATTTAACAACCATTTGAAGTTACAACAGCACTGAAAAATGTGCCTATTGTGCAAATCAATCCATGCACTTATGACTGGCATAGTATCCCTACAGTCACATGATCAAAATTAGGCTTTTTGACATCCAGCATGTATTTACAATGGTTGCAGCATCGTGTGTGTGTGTGTGTGTGTGTGTGTGTGTGTGTGTGTGATGTGATCACCATCTGTGACTTTTCTAACCAACTTCCAACAAGCAAAGTCAATAGGNATATTTTACCCTAAAATATTTCTCTTAAAAAAATTCCTCCTGCTTCCTAAGATTTTTACTCAGTACAATCTTTTTATTTCATACAAACATGGATGCAGTGGGGGGGGAGTGTGTGTGTGTGTGTGTGTGTGTGTGTGTGTGTGTGTGTGTGTGTGTGTGTTCCCTCTGATAAGCAGGTTTTTGCATATGCACTAAAGGGATATCAAAGCTTTGGGTCCAGCTCTTTCTATGTTTCTTTAGCTTGTACTAGCCTTTTTATTTATTTATTTAAAAAAAAAATTAACATCCACTCAGACGCAGTATCTGCCAGTGCAGTCTGGGATACTGACAGCCACAGTCTGGACTGAACAGTAAACAGCTCCACCACATTCTATTGGCAATTACTGCTGAAGGTCACACATCAGCAGAGAGACTAAATTCCAGGAAGGAAAAAAAAAAGCTGCCTCTTATGTAACTGCTGCCTGAAAGCTGGCAGATGTCCAACACAGCAGTTCACTGCAATGTAGGAGGAAAGGAGGGAGGGAGGGAAAGCAAAGTAGGACATCTCTCAGTTTCTTCAGCATCATTAGGGTGCCCCCTTCTGGCTAAGTTTAAGTGTTACAGTGAACTAGTGTGTGGTGAATGCCATTTTTATAAACAAGGTCTTTCTAAATAAATGAATAAAAACAGGCTACCTGGGATAAGCACGAGGAGGGCAATGATGACTCTATCATAGTTGTACTCTTGATGTGATGGGCGTGACACTGCAGCTATGCAATCTAGTTCAAGACCACAACAATATTGAACATAAGTAGGTTTTTTTTTTTTAAAAAAAATAATCCATATGTAGATTAAAAGGCTGGTTATGAAGAAGAGAAAGGTTTGGCTAATACGTTTTCTTTTTCTCTTTCTGAAAGAGTCATAAATTTCTTGTTTGGAAGAACATGTAATTTCCAAACATCCTTTACTAAGTAAGTTGGTGTGAGAGACTGGGAGAAATAGTATCTTATTTAATACTTTTTTTTGGTATTTAAGAATTCTTGAAACATTCAGATGAATTAAAATTCAGCTATTTTTTCCAGGAGCTGTGTTTGAAAAGTATTGTATTTATATATCTTGACCAGTTCTAAGAATGAAATTAAATATTTCTGCCCTGATTTTTTTCTTAAAGAGTTACTGTATTTTAGGGTTTTTTATATTTTTCTGTCACACACCAGTTTGGTTTAATGATAAATTTATCCAGAGCATTTCAGTATGCACTTTACTTTTAAAGTTCCATTTTTAACAAAATGGTTACAAATAGCCGACTTTATCTCTAATTCCTCTTGAAGAAACACAACTTTTGCAGAAACATGCATCACAATCACAAGCATGTTTTTCCTCTGGAAGAACTGTAATTTTCTTATTCTTCTCCTCAATAGTAGAAACTGACTGGACATAGAATATGAGTTTTAAAAAGGCATTTCTTTCTTTGTGCCATGTGTTTGTAAATTGGTTGGTGGAAAAAGAAAACACCACGCTTCCTCAGAAAAGTTTCAGGGAATGCAAAGTCCCGCCAGAAGACACTTTTAATAAACAGATAGTGTTCATTCCCCTATATTTATAAACACACCTGCTGCTAGCGTGAAATCCTTCCACTGAAATCAGCCAACAGAGTTTTCACTGCTAATCGAGGGCTAAATTCTAAACTGGGCTTGATCTCAATCCTGATTTAATGCAAAGCCAGTCAGAATGTGTGAAAGCATTTCATTTGACAGAAAATCTAAGTAAAAACAAGCAGCCTAAGTTCCATATATATGTGCACAGGTTTGGAATATAGCAGTGAAAGGGCTAACTTTTTCTGGAGTGAGTGCCCAAAGTGTGCATGTGTGTGTGTGAGTGTGTGTGGGTGCACCCAAACCTCCCAAATGCAATGTGCGCACACCCACCCACCCTTGCGCAATCACACGTCCCCCTGCATGCGCCCTGCTTCCCATGCATGCATGTGCCCCCCCTTGCACACACCCCGCTCCCCACGCATGCATGGCAGAGACCAATGACCAGCTAGCTAGGTAGGAGACAGACATGCAAGGTGAAGCTGAAATAGTGTGATGCGTGCCCACAGAGAGGGTGCTGCGTGCCACCTGTGTCATGTGTGCCATATGTTCCCCATCACGGGAATAGTGTGTGCTTCTCAACACCCTAAAGCTAAATGGGTTTGGTTTAAAATTACTCTGGAGACAATAAAACAACTTTAAAAGAGAATTAGTTTTAGTTGACAAAATTGAGTTAAATAAAACAAAGTACTGGAGCACTTGACCAACTATGCCATCTAATTTATGCTCTTTCACACAATATTTGTAATACAAAAAAAACCCAAAATCTCTGATACTAATATATTCATGGAGCAGCATCTGATCATATGTTAATGATGGTTGTGAGTGGAATTTTGACAGTAGAAAATCTAGCAGAGCAAAGACAAAGCTAACTTGAGCTGATCATATATGAAAAGCATGAAAACCACTTGCTTCTATTTCTCTGTATACTCCCTAGTGTCAGATAGTCTGACTATAAAGAAAGTATACATTTTTCCATGTATTTCTTAGGATCATATGTTCAGTTAGAAGAAACAACTATAGATTATAGCAGACTTCTGGTTGTTGATTTATAGAAATTAAACTGCCGTTAAAAAAATTTAACCAGGAAAGCTACACAAAAAAGCTATTTAATTCTAGGTACTATCTGTCTCCCCCTCCTCCCCCAATTATACAGAGTGGTAAATTCGAGATTCAAGATTTGATTGCCTCATCTTTGCACATTAACAATTCTAAGTTCAAAGAATTCTTATAAAACAGAATGTGAAATGTTTAAACGTCTTCATTTATACTGCATTGGAGAGTTATCTATTCAGTGTTCTACCATTTGAAGGAACACAACATGACTGAATCCAAAAATATTTTCAGACAATACTCTTGGAGGAAAACAAAATACACAATTAAAAATAAAATAGTTCATGGCATGACAAGTTACACTCCACTACATCACTAGCACAAACGTGAGAACCACAATACATAAACACTGACAATACAGCACGACATACTACATGTCTACTGACTTCAGGAGACCACCAAGGAAGACTAAAGAAACAATAAAGTAAGAAATTCAAAACCTCAGCATTATCCAATTCACCAAGTGCAATCAGCTAAAAAGAAGAACAAGAGGGAGACAAAAAGAAATTGAAAATAAATATTAATGAAAGAGAAATGGCAAATAATCAGTCATTATAGACACTGAGAACCATAATTTCCACTCTTTCAACCCAGTTAAATACATTAAACCAACATTAAATACAAATATATTTGACATACTAGCCTATGTTAGCACAACATATGATCCTTTATCAGATACGGATAAACCTAACTAAGTGTCTTTTAAAATATGGCTGTATGCCCCTATTTTACACCAATATTATTAAACATTATTATTCCTTATTATTTCATATAACTTTTTTTAAAGCATGTAAACTTTTCAGTGTGACAATTACCTGATTATAATATACTATTTTAGTATAGTTAATCTACAAACTATGAAGTGATTACAGGTTACAGATAATCCTCAAGATATAACAGTAGTGAGTGAAAAAAGTGACTATTTTTCACACTTATGCCTCTTGAAACATTCCCATAATCATGTGATCAAAATCCAAATGCTTGGTGATTGGTCCATACTCTTGACTGCGGCTGTGTCCCAAGGTCATATGATCACCTTTTTCAAAGTCAATGGGAAGCCAGATTCACCTAACAACCAGATTACTAACTTATCAACTGCAGTGACCACCGTGGCAGGAAAGGTAGTAAAATGGGGCAAAACTCACTTAATAAATGTCTCACTTAACAAAAGAAATTTTGGACTCAATTGTGGCTGAAGTCAAGGACTGCCTGTATTAGGTGGATGCTTTCAGCATCCACTATGTCTAATAATATTAAAACCCGGTGTCTTGGGATTGGATACTGTGTGGCCACTATGGTCCATTTCTATGTTCCATGAAAAGGATTTAATATTCTATCCCAAGATATCTAGTTTTAATATTATTAGACTGAGTAGATGTTGGAAACATACTTATAATAACCCATAGCCACTTGGTAGTTTGTAAACTTTATGTTAAAAATTAATATATCAATTCATTCTTCTGAGAGTCCCAGGGCATATTTCTTCCTTACTTCACACAGATTGCTCATTGGCTTGATTCAGTACAATGCAACTCCTGAAACTTCTATGTACAACAAACATAACAATTTAATTTCATCTGTATATTCAGAATAAAACTGCAGCTCAGGTTGCCAGGTACCTGGGGAAAGGTTCTTTTTTCTTGATATAAAAACAAATCAGTCAGCAAAATTCACATTCAACAAACTTGTTTTAAAGGGTACAATGATCAGTTTACTTGGGCAAATTTGATTGTACCTTAGCTCAAGCAGAAATAAAGCAAGTACCATTTATAAAGTCTTTATCGTAGAATATACTTAAATGCAGCATCATAAAGTTGGTGCTTTTTGCCGTGTAACTTTTAACACGAAAAAGAGACTTAAGCTGAGCTTCTTAGTTTTAGACTATCATTTTTTCATGGTTAAGAAATATATTAAAAGCTGTTCCTATACTGACACTGTTTTTTTTAAAAAAGAAAACACACACAGACACACAGACACACACACGCACAACAAAATCATAAAACTGGAAAGAACCATTTAACTCAAGTTTTTTCTGAAATGATTGCAAAATATTATATGTCCATACAGGTAGTCCTCGACATATGACCATAATTGAGCCCCAAATTTATATTGCTAAGCAAGACATTAATTACGTGAGTTTTGTTCCATTGAACAACACTTCTTGCCACAGTTGTTAAGTGAATCGTTGGGGCTGTTAAAGTGCTAACATGATTGTTATGTGAATTTGGCTTTTCTATTGACTTTGCTTGTCAGAAAGTACATTCACTTGATCCCAGGACATTGCAACCGTCATAAATATGAACCAGTTGCCAAGCATCTAAATTTTGATCACATGACCATCAGGATGCTACAATGGTCATAAGTGTGAAAAACAGTCGTAAGTCACTTTTTCAGTGCCGTTGCAACTTTGAATGTCCACTAAATGAACTGTTATAAGTCAAGGACTACCTGTACAGTAAATAGGTGTGGTAAATAGCTAATCCAGGTTTTTGATTGGTAGGTATGCGTCCTTGCATGT